AAAAAAAAAAAAAAAAAAAAAAAAAAAATGTTCGCCCTCAAGGTATGAGAGTGTAAATATAAGGATATCACCTTTGCACAATGCAGTAATCACTACTAGACGTAAATGATCAAAGCCGACCGTAAAGTACAAAAACCTTCGATGTTGAAAATAATAGAAAGTTTTCTCCATAAAAATCCCTAATAATGAGAAGCAAGAATATTACGATACGCATCTCTTAGATATTTCTCCCGACCAAAAGTGTAACCAAAAGATTCTGTGCAATACAAGTGGTTGGAAAGCATTATCTTTCCGTAACGTAAAAGACTTTTGCAACCCTCTGGAGCCGAGCCAAAAAAATGTTCCTTCATTGGCGGGATGTAAACAGAAAGTCAGAAAATACAAATTATGTAAATCATAACTGGAATAGTAACCAACATGACTACAACAAATTATAAATTTCTGTGTACACCAAAACAGTTAAAACAAAGTGGTAGTAACAATAAAAAAAATGTAAGATTTATATGAACGCTATAGGGGAAAGTTGTTACGCCAAACTGCTTACACTTATGATTACTTTGGTTTTAATTAAACAACAGCAATCGCCTTTCCCATCAGATAACGATTCCTACAGGTGATCTGCCGAAAAAAAGCCCAAAAGTAAGAATAAAAAACATAAAAACAAAAAAAGTCTATGAAAAAGTGGCTGAAAAGATATACTACTACGAAAGAAAACACCTGTACCGACAAGTAGACAGAACTCTGGTAGAACGTAATCAACTCATAATCAATTTGAATGCACCTAAAAAGCAATAAAACAACGATGAAACATAAATCCTACTTGACTGTTTAAAAAACTCCTTTCAAACCCTGGAAGAATCATAACTTTCCAGCACTGTCGATCAAATTGATGATTAACGCATAAAGATGAATTATCTTACTATCTTCAGCAATGAAGCAATAAAAAAATTTAACAGTACCAAAACATGCAAAGCAAGAAAGACAGGATGCCGACCCAACTCTTAACACCCAGTTCATGCCTATTTCCCTCATTCAAAAACGGAACAGTAACCTCCTCCAAGAAGGTTGGTACCTGTATGGAAGGGCGTCGAACATAAAAGCTAGCTGCAATCGTATGAATCTCATTTTAAACCCATATCCTTGAGCTCAAATCAAAAACTATATGCGTGAAAAAGACCCAGGACAGAGCAGTGTCAACAATTTTAACGGTAATACACCATAGTAAATTGACAAAATGAAAAATTTTTTATGCTAAAAAGTTTTATTCCGGGTCAAATAATGCATAGTTATTATGCAAATGTAAGGAGTTGAGAAGAATAAAACCGATGCGGAAAAAAAAAACAGTGACTGATAAAAAAAAAGGCATTTCTGGTACAAGGACTGTCTAAAATTAACCGTCTGTTAAAAATAACTCTACATTTACAGAAACAGCTCTAAGCCGAAAAAAAATCACAAACAACTGCATCAATTTCAGTATCCGACCTCTCGGAACAAACATTTACCCGTCAATATTTACGTAGCAGAAGAATGAATATACATAAATCCATTAAATGGTAATGAAGTTCGAGGAAAACGATAGCAAAAAAGCCGTAACCAAAAATCAGCGATTCTGTGACTGATATCACGTTGATATATTAGCAATAACAAAGGGCAAAAAGTA